AGTTGTACTTCGAAACATATGTCATGTTAGTGTTTTTTTTTAAATTTATTTTTAAAATAAAAGTGTGAAAATCTACCAAATTTGGTTTTACTCTTTCAAAATTAAATGGATTTTCATCAAGTAAAGGCCGAAACAATAAATAACAATGAAAATAAGGCTTGTACAAATGAAAATAAGGCTTGGGCAAACGAAAATAAGGCCTCGACAAACGAAAATAATGTGTGAACAAACGATTGAAGTAGTTAGTTTTAAAAAATTGCAATTAGAAGAACTATATTAATAATATTGTTCATATTTTGAGTTCGTTATTAGTTAATAATTAATTTCCGTTTGATGGATAAACAAAAATAATCTATGGACAAATGATTGCAGTAATTAGTTTCAAGAAATTGCAATTAAAAGACTTTATATCAATAATTGCTCAAATTTCGAGTTCTTAATTTGTTAATAACTAATTTCCGTTGGGTGGACCATCGAAAATAAGGCTTGGACAAACGAAAATAAGGCCTGGACAAACGAAAATAATGTGTAAACAAACGATTGAACTACTAAGTTTTAATAAATTGCAATCAGAAGAACTACCTATATTAATAATATTGTTCATATTTTGAGTTCTTAATTTGTTAATAACTAATTTCCGTTGGGTGGACCATCGAAAATAAGGCTTGGACAAACGAAAATAAGGCCTGGGCAAACGAAAATAATGTGGAGACAAACGATTGAACTACTTAGTTTTAATAAATTGCAATCAGAAGAACTACCTATATTAATAATATTGTTCATATTTTGAGTTCGTTATTAGTTAATAATTAATTTCCGTTTGATGGATAAACAAAAATAATGTGTGGACAAAAGATTGCAGTAATTAATTTTAATAAATTGCAATTAGAAGAATGTATATCAATAATTGTTCATATTTTGAGTTCTTAATTTGTTAATACGTCTAACTAATTTCCGTTGGGTGGACTATCGAAAATAAGGCTTGTACAAATGAAAATAGGGCCTGGATAAAGAAGAATAATGTGTGGACAAACGATTGAAGTAGTTAGTTTTAAAAAATTGCAATCAGAAGAATTATATTAATAATATTGTTCATATTTTGAGTTCGTTATTAGTTAATAATTAATTTCCGTTTGATGGATAAACAAAAATAATGTATGGACAAACGATTTCAGTAGTTAGTCTTAATAAATTGTTATTAAAAGTAATTAGGTTAACAATTGTTTATATTTTGGGTGCTTTATTTTGTTAATAAATAATTTCTTTTGGAAGAACAAACGAAAATAATGAGTCGACAAACAATAATTGCCGTATTTAATTCGAATGAAATGTATTAAGATTGTCCCTAAGAACCAAGCGAATAATTTTTTGTTTTTTATTTAAATATATCGGTTTTGAGTGATGGACAAATGAAACTTCGAGTTGCACAAACGAAACTTTAGGTTGGACAAACGTGGACAAATCATGAACAATCGAATCGAATGCCACTGTGAAATTAATAAAAAAAGTTTTTTTATGAAAGGTGAACAAACGAAAATTTTTGTTGGTTAACTTCACGGACAGTGTTGGCAGGCACAGGTTTTTTTGTTTTTTTTTTTATTCAGGAAAAAGGGTGCAAAAATTAATGTATTTAAAAACAAATGCAAATATATTATCAAACGTTATACCCAGTGTTGCCAGAATATATTTTTGTAATGTACCAGATTTATTTAAAAAATGTACCAGATTTCATAAAAATGTACTAGATTCTATAAAATTACCAGATTTTTCTAATTATGAAGTATGGTCATTAAAGAGCAAAAAAAGATTTATAGAGAACACGAACACAACAATTTTAAACAATATTTTATCTCTCGACAAATTTCTGACACTATTTTATCTCTCGAGCAGTTTTTGAATAAGATTTTAATACCTTTTGATACTCTTTTATCTCTCGAACAGTTTTTAAATCTTTTTTTATCTCTTGAGCTATTTTGAAACAATATTTTATCTCTCGATAAATTTCTAACAGTATTCTATCTCTCGAGCAATTTTTAACAACTTTTTTTTATCCCTCGAGCAATGTTTGTACAATTTTTTTTTAAATTTTTAACACTATTTAATCACTCGAGCAATTTTTAACAGTTTTTCATCTTTCAAGCAAACAATATTTGATCTCTCGTGCAATTTTTGAGCAAAATTTTAACAATTTCTAACACTATTTTATCTCTCGAGCAATTTTTGAAAAAGATTTTACACCTTTTGATAATATTTTATCTCTTGAACAGTTTTTAAACAATTTTAAACAAATATCTAACAGTATTTTATCTCTCGAGCAATTTTTAACAACTTCTTTTATCTCTCGAGCAATATTTGTACAATATTTTTTTTTAACACTATTTAATCACTCTAGCAATTTTTAACAGCCTTTTTTACCTTTCAAGCTATTTTTGAACCATATTTGATCTCATGTGCAATTTTTGAGCAACATTTTAACAATTTCTAACACTATTTTATCTCTCGAGCAATTTTTGAAAAAGATTTTAATACCTTTTAATGTTATTTTATCTCTCGAACAGTTTTTAAAAAACCTTTTTATATCTCGAGCTATTTTTAAAAAATATTTTATCTCTCGATAAATTTCCAACAGTATTCTATCTCTCGAGCAATCTTTAACAACTTTTTTTTATGCCTCGAGCAATGTTTGTACAATTTTTAACACAATTTAATCACTCGAACAATTTTTAACAGTTTTTTTACCTTTCAAGCTATTTTTGAACAATATTTGATCTCTTGTGCAATTTTTGAGTAAAATTTTAACAATTTCTAACACTATTTTATCTCTCGAGCAATTTTTGAAAAAGATTTTACACCTTTTGATAATATTTTATCTCTTGAACAGTTTTTAAACAATTTTAAACAAATTTCTAACAGTATTTTATCTCTCGAGAAATTTTTGTACAAATTTTTTTGTACAAGTTTTAACACTTTTTAATCACTCAAGCAATTTTTAACAGCTTTTTTACCTTTCAAGCTATTTTTGAACAATATTTGATCTCTCGTGCAATTTTTGAGCAAAATTTTAATAATTTATAACACTATTTAATCTCTCGAGCAATATTTATTAACATTTTTTATCTTTCTAACAATTTTTAAACAATGTTTTATCGCTCGAGAAATGTTTAACAGTATTTTTTAATTCTCGAGTAATTTTTGAATAAGATTTTAATAACTTATGATACTATTTTACCTCTCGAACAGTTTTTAAACCTTTTTTTATCTGTTGAGCTATATTTAAACAATATTTTATCTTTCGATAAATTTCTAACATTTATTCTATCTCTCGAGCAATTTTTAACAACTTCTTTATCTCTTTAGCAAACTGCACAATATTTTAACTCTTGACAAATTTATAAAAATATATTAACTCTCGATAAATGTTTAACAATGTTTTATATCTCGAGCAATGTTTGTACAATATATTATCTCTTGAGCATTTTCTAATAGTATTTTATTGTTCGAGGAATTTTTAAACAATGTTTTATCGCTCGAGAAATGTTTAACAGTATTTTTTAATTCTCGAGTTATTTTTGAATAAGATTTTAATAACTTATGATACTATTTTACCTCTCGAACAATTTTTAAACCTTTTTTTATCTCTTGAGATATATTTAAACAATATTTTATCTTTCGATAAATTTCTAACATTATTCTATCTCTCGAGCAAGTTTTAACAACTTTTTTATCTCTTTTAACTCTCGATAAATTTATAAAAATATTTTAACTCTCGATAAATTTTTGACAATGTTTTATATCTCGAGCAATGTTTGTAAAATTATCTCTCGAGCATTTTTTAATAGTACTTTATCGTTCGAGGAATTGTTAAACAATGTTTTATCTCTCGAGAAATTTCTAATAGTAGGTATGTCTTGAATCAATTTTAAACAATATTTTATTTCTCAACAAATTTTTCAATAGTATTTTATCCGTCAAGCAATTTTTGAACAAGGGTTTAACATTTTGTAATACTATTTTACCTCGAGCAATTTTTGAACACGATTTTAACAATTTATAATACTATTTAATCTCTGGAAAAATTATTAAATATTTTTATCTCTCATTAAATTTCTAACAGTATTTTTATCCCTAGAGCAATTTTTGAACAATATTTTACCTCTCAAGCAATTTCTAATACTATTTTATACTTCGACCATTTTTTAACACCCTTTTTTACCTCTCAAGCCATTTTTGAACAATATTTAATCTCTCGTGTAATTTTTAAACAATGTTTTATCTCTCGAGAAATGTCTACTATTTTTTCTCTGAAGTAATTTTTAACAACTATTTTAATTTCTCTTGCAATTTTTGACCAATATATTTTACCCTTCAAATGGAAACATACGCTGAAAAAGTACTAGATATTGTTTCGAGTGTACTAGGGTACAAGATTCTCAGAGAATGTACTAGATCTAGTACAATTGTACTAGACTGGCAACACTGGTTATACCTACCACTGGAACTTTTTGATATTGATATTAATGATAGTGACAATTTAAAAAAAATATAATTTTTTTATTTTTTTTTTTAATATAATAAAATTCTATTTTTAGTTTTGTTTGTATTTTTTGCTTAACTTTTGACATATATGAACTAAAAAACCTTAAAAAATATATATAACCTCAACAAAACTTATATATTTTTTAATTTTTAGGTTTTTCCAACCCTGTATAGAGGTATTTTAAAAATACATACATGTGTTGTTTCAAGTATGAAGCTCTTTTTCTGTTTTTTTATTTTTATTTTTACTCGACATATTTTTAATATATTTTAGTACTTTAAAATTCTAAATTTATATAGAAAAAAATTAATTTCTTTATCCAAATAAATATATTTTGATATGTTTCATATTTATTATTTTTGGATTTCCTACATTCTATTAAACAGAATGGCTTTCTTTTATTTTAAATCAACTTTCAAAAACGATTAGATCATATTAAAACAACATTACCAAACCTACGTACAATATCCAAGCTAACAGAGCAGCTAAATCACAACACACAACTTTTCCAAAAACGAAAACACAACCCTCGCAAAACTTAAACTTTCACGTTATCACAGCACATCACTTTTACGAACTTTACAGTTTGGTTTCTTATTATGTCAAAGCTTATCGGAAATTAAGTTCACTTAGCAAAAACAAACGGTTCCCAGATTAGGAATGCCGCTAAATGATTTAAGCTCTTATAAATAGAACGAATTCCACAATTCCTTCGTTCACTTGGCACTAGATCACTCACAAACAATACTATCGCAAACTGAAAACTAAATTCTTAACATGTAATGAAAGAGATAAAAATTGGTGGTTAGCGAAGAGTATGCCGGGTGCAGTTGCAAGTAAGCGCGAGCATAATCGACTGAAATGGTTTTTGAGTCACTTGCACTTACTTGCACCGTATCCGTTGGGTAATGACATGACAATTTTGTGTTTGTGTTGAGTCTGTCGCGCTTGCTGCCTCGACTTGATTTAAAATAGACTCCGTGGATCATAAATAATTCGTCCTCGTGTTTATAGTCGCGGTGCATCATGTAAATATTGCTCTCTAACCATGGGCGTCGCTACGAAGGCGAAAGGGGCAGTTGCCGCCTTTTTCCGAAAAAGATGGACGTGTTAAATCTCGTGCGAAATATTGATATGCGCTTTTATGTGTATTGAGCTAAAATAACTTGTTTTCACTGCCTCATTTTATAATGACTTAATAGTGTTTAAAGCAGTCATATAAAACGATGATCAAATATTGTTTTATTACTTTTAGCCTGTGCCAAAAGTTTATATACTAGTGCAAAAACATACCACGTATTGCTTGGACCAAAATAAGCCGATTTAAATATACTTACCTCATTATATAGTCCAGTGGTCGCCAACCTCTCAATGTGTTGAGCTACTTTGTTAATTTTGGAATAAACAACGAACTACCCACACGGAAGCCACGTAACGCAACGCAAATGAAATAATCTACAGTTCAATTATCATTATATGTATTTATTTTACTATTTAACTGGTAATACATAATACACAGGTACTAATAATAAACTAATTACAAAATAACTAATATTACTAGTACGTACTTGTTCATAGCTACATTCCCACCTACCAAACGAAGGTGTTTAAAAAATAAACACAAACTTTTATCCAGCCACAACGGCATGTCACGTAAGATTTAAAAATAGCTAATAATAACAACAAAAAAGTAACGCACTATCATGAACATAAACATTGAAAAATAAAAAAGCACGTTCAATGGGAAGGCTGACACTCAGACTCATCGATAATTTTTTTAATGTTTGCAGTATAATTTGATACAGCCATTCGAATACAATTATCCAAATGTTCATCTGTAAGTCGATTGCGATATTTGTTCTTAATAAACTTCATATTGGAAAAAGAAGATTCACACAAATAGGTTGAACTGAATAATGCTTTCACTTTCAAGGCAACACGGCATAGAACTGAATATTTGTCTTTACTTACAATATACAGATACATTTGGTACTTGAGACTAACGATTTTAAGGCTAAATCATTTTGAAACTCAATTACTTCCATTTCTGTTGCAGCGATGTCTTCGCCAAAGTTCTGTATAACATAAGTTGCAAACTGTTGGATATCAATTTCCATAAAGGGTGAAACAACAAACTGCGCTACTAAAACCATTTCGTTGAAATCCTTAAAACGATTTTTGAAGTTATTCTTCAGGGTAGAAACTATTTCTACATGATATTTGCTGTCACCAATTATGGGATCTTTTAACTTTGTGGATCCCATGTTATAAATAATATAGCGGTTGTAAAAGGGCATATATTAATATAATAAAATAGACAATTCCGTCATGACAGAAAATTATATATATGACATTTCTTTTTTAATAAAATAAAATGCTTGGCAACCGAGGTCGTCAAGTAGATAGATAGGGTGCACTTAAATCCTGCCTCCCACTAAGCTGCCTTAATAGGTAATATTGATATGTGTGGCATGGGTGTGACATGTATCAATATATTATGAGTTGGAGTTAGTATGTAGTGCTTCCAAGGCGCTACAATAGGGTTCTAATGGATTTTGAGATAATTTTTCTGAAAGAATAGGAAAATGCTTGGCATCGCTGTTAATTAGGTTTTGTTCCCAAAACTCCAGCTTTTTGATAAATGCTTTTATATCAGAAATCATTTCCGCTAGTTTTTTGTCTCTCCCCTGAAGCTGCAAATTAAGTTCGTTTAATTTCTCTGTAATGTCCACGAGAAAACCAAAATCTCTAAGCCAGATTGAATTTTCTAGTTCCGAAGTCGGTTCATCGCGTTGTTTGAAAAATTGAGCTATGTCAGATAGGACATCATTAAAACGTTTCAGCACCCGTCCTCTACTTAAGCATCGGACTTCAGAGTGAAGGAGTAGGGCCCCGTATTGACAGTCAACTTCATCGGCCAAGGTTTTGAATAATCTTCTTTGTAACGCTTGAGCTCTAATCTTGTTCACAATTTTTACCACCAGTTTCATAACCTTTTTTAGTTTCAGGAAAATTCCACATAATGCTTGCTGATGGATAATGCAGTGGTAACAGAGAAATTGCGGAAAAGTTTCATCTTTACGACATAACGCCACCAGACCCTTATCACAACCCACCATAGCTGGAGCGCCATCGGTTGTCAAGCCTACCATTTTCGATATTGGAATTTTCTCGGAAGAAATAATATTTTTTAAATGAGAAAACAACTCCTGTCCAGTAGTGTGTCCTTTCAGTGGAATAAACTTCAAAAGATCTTCTTTAATCGTAAAATCACTAAAAACCATCCTGACGAACACGGCCATTTGGGCAGTGTCAACGACATCTGTTGATTCATCCAGTTGAAGTGAAAAATAAACACAGTTATCTAAGTCAGTTCTTAACTGTAAAAAAATATCATTGCTCATTACTTCTACACGTCTCATCACTGTATTAGCAGAAAGTTGCATAGATTTTATAGCTGATACTATCTCGTCTTTATTTCTAAAGTTGGCAAATAACGAATCAGCAGCTTCTAAAAACGCCTGTTTTATCTTTTCCCCGTCTTCATAAGGTTTCTTTTTTTGTGCAATTATCTGGGACACACGGTACGATGCTTCAGTTGCAGCCTTATTTTTGTCGACTGTTCTTAAAAATATTGATTGTTGTCCAATTAACTTCTTTTTTAACTGTTTCAGTTTCTCCTTTCTGGCGGCAGAATGTAGTGGGAATTTTTTAAAATTAAAATGTACAGTTTTATGATGTCTCTCAATATTTCCTTTTTTTTTGCCAATGGAAGAAAAAGGGGTTTGATTATGAAATTTGGATTGTGTATTTCATTTACTACAAAAAAGATACAATATTTGATAACACTCGATCTTTCTCATGGTTTTGGCCAAATTTGTAATTTAATAATTTGTAGAGGTTTTACAAAAACATGAATTTTACTAAAATTATAAGATTAATAGTTATTTCTTTTGTAGTAAATGAGTTGAGCAATTCAAATTTCATATTCGACCCAGCAACTATTGAAAATATTAAATTCTGGTATGGTTTGGTTATGAGCTATCAAAATTTAATTTGATACATAATTTATTAAGTAATAATTTATATTCTTTATTTTTTTAGTTCTGCGTCAATAGGTTTATAATAGTCACAATTTTAATACATAATTTTTTTTATTATTTTTTAAATAAAAATTATAAAAGTACCCCAATTGTACTTTAATTCAAGTTAAGTATTCTCTATACCTAAAATTAATAGTTTTAAAAGATTTTAAGGTAGGTTCACAAATTTGTCTCGTTCTGGAAAAAATATGACGGCGCCCATACTTCTAACGGTATTTTTAAGTTTGACTAATCGTATAATTTTTTTGCTGCTACTTCTTTCTATAGATACACTAAGTTTTTTTTGAGTGGGAAGTTTTACAGATTTTGAATAATTATAGTCTGAATATTAGACAAAATTTGACTGTAATTATTATGGATCTGCATGATACCAAAAGAAGAATCACCAATTTTGATCACTTCTGTGTACGACGTCACTCGATGAGTCTAAAATCATCCGCGATATTTTTTTAATGGGAATTTATTTGTTTAAATAGAAGAATTCATTAAAATACATATTTTTTTTAAATAACTTTTTCAAAAAAACTTAAAAATACGAAACTTACATTAATTTATTCCAAAATATACACAATACGGTCATTTATAAAGGTTCATCAAAAATAGGATGATTACATTCATGCCGTTGTAAGAAACATTAAAAAAAATTAAGTTGAACGTAAAGACGATTAATTTACAAAAATTGGTACACGTGAATTGTGATTTATATTTACAAGAAAAACCAAAAAAATAGACAAAAACAGAAACAGACTTATTAATAAGTTTAATTTTTCGTACTCAAATCCAGGTCCGGATTTAGATTTTTATTTACTCCAATTGGATGTGTTACTTTTATATCTAAAAGAAACACTCTTTTCCAATTTTATAAAATAGTTGCAAAACCGATTTAATATCTATACTAAGTCTACTTACATTAGAATCGTGTTTGGAAGAATTCAAATTTACCTGAAAAAGAAGAAAAATCTTTATTAATGTCTTCTTCTACACTACACATTTTAGAAATTCACAGAAATTTATAGAAATTTATAGAAATTTATAGAAATTCATAGAAATTCATAGAAATTCATAGAAATTCATAGAAATTCATAGAAATTCATAGAAATTCATAGAATTTCTTAGAAGTTCATAGTAAATTCATAGAAATTCGTAGAAATTCATAAAAATTCATAGAAATTCAAAGAAATCCACAAAAAAATTATCGAAATATCACAAAAATTCATAGAAATTTAAAGAAAATTATTAGAAATTCATAGAAGTTCATAGAAAATCATATAAATTCACAAAAATTTATAGAAAATAACAAAAAATCATAAAAAATCGTAGAAATTCGTAAAAGTCCATAAAAATTTATAGAAAATCATAGAAATTCAAAGAAAATTCATAAAACTTCCATAGAAATTCATAGAAATTCGTAGAAATTCACAGAAATTTAAAAAAATATTTATAAAAATTCCTAGAAATTCCCAGAAATTCATATAAGTTCAAAGAAAATTCATAGAAATTCACAACAATTAATAGAAAATCATAGAAATTTACAGATATTTACAGAAATTTGTATAAATTCATAGAAAATCATAAAAATTCATAGAAATCACAAAAATTCATATAAGTTCAAAGAAAATTCATAGAAATTCACAAAAATTAATAGAAAATCATAGAAATTTACAAATATTTAGAGAAATTGTTATAAAAATTCTTAGAAATTCATAGATATTTATAGAAATTCAAAGAAATTCACAAAAAATCACAGAAATTCGTAGAAATTAAAAGAAAATTCTTAGAAATTCATAGAAGTTCATAGAAAATCATATAAATTCACAAAAATTTATAGAAAATAATAAAAAATCAT